CTGTCCTTTTTTCCTCTTGGGAAAAATAATACACCAACAAAATTGTGAATCTAGGGTTTTGTAATCAAACCCTAATTATATCCAAATTGAATTGGGTCTCCTCAAATATAATATATAAAAATACATTATACTAAACCAAGCCAAATTAAATCCCTGCATTATCTCACTACAATGATGTCTATGGAACATAAGCAATGTAATCCCAGTATGAGAATCATAATAAGCTGCCTCTGTGGTGATGGGAAGCTTGGAAAAGCAATGGAGTTGAACCAAGAAATAGAATCAAGAGGTTGGATTCATGGTTCAATCATTCAAAATGCCATTGTTGAAGGCCTTCTTGCTCAAGGTAAACTTCAGGAAGCAGTGAGATTTTTGGACGGGATGATACAAAAAGGTCTAAGCTGGATTACAGTGGTCAGTCGACCGGCCGGACGTCCGGCCAGTCTTCCCCTCGGTCGACCTGTGTTTTGATGATAGCACCGTTGGAGTGGCTGATATCAAATAGAGGAATTCGTACTTTTTTTACTCAAATTTGATGAAATATTTGGTGAACCGGAAATGCTCTTATATTGTCTATTTACCTTCTAAAAAAATTGTTTAGGACATTTTCCAGCCTGTGTCCTGGCCGATCTTCGTACAAGGCTTGGCACAACCGTATATGATATTTTAAGACTTTGATTGAAATTGTGTTTGAGTTATAAATTTAGATAGAAACTTACAAAAGGGAAAATATAAGTGAAATTTAATTTATTTTATTAATATTTCACCTACTATTTTTTTTTTTTTTTTTCCTTTTGTAATTCAAACAGAGCTTAAGAGAGTTAGCCCCATCAGAGGCCGCTTGGCCAAGCACAGTCGGACCATTCCATAAACCCGAGTATAAGGTTGCTATTTCCTCTAGCCGTTACAGATTGTGCTAGCTAGAGAGCCCACTAAGAAAAAAAAAGTGAGTTTTCTATTTCAGAAGTCTCTTTTTCAATCAGTTTCTCTCTTTTATTTATTTATTTATTTTTCTAATCCATTTAAATATTGGGGGAAGCACCAATAAATCCCAAATTAATAACTTATACACTGTTTAGTCCTAAAATTTTTTTTATAGACTGAAAAGTCCCATTACAATGTTTCAAACATCAGATTAATGTTTCGAACATTAGATTTCGAACATCAGATTAATGTTTCGAACATTAGATTGATGTGCAAATGGGACTAAATGGAGCATAAAGAAAACTTTTAGGATTAAATGGTTCAACTTTTCAAAAACTAGGACTTATGGGTAAATTTTCCTTAAATATTCTCTGTTTATTTTTATTATAATTTTAAATATGAAAATACTTTTATTCACCATCCAATTCAGTGTGAGACGCACTTTTCTATATCCAAAACCCACAAATTATTGGCAATCTAAACTATGAGCATTTAAAATACTTTCACAGAATTCACTACAACTATTTCAATTGAAATTCCAAAAACAATCTAAAACGTTGCAATTCAGTGCAGCTACTTGGCTAAAACAACACTCTTCTTTTTGATACATTGGGTTGCAGCAACGAAATGGAAACAACAAAACTTATATATATATATATATATATATATATGTGTGTGTGTGTGTGTGTGTGTGTGTACAAGGATGGACACAGAATTTTAACATTAGGGGGGCGAATTAATATGCAACAAAAAAATTTACACTTTGGGTAATTTTTGCAACCATGCTACATCCCTCAATATAGCACTTTCATTTTGATCCCGAGGAGGTGGAAGAGAGAGACAATAGATAGAGATAGAGAGAGGAGTGTAGGTCCACCCCTTCACATGGTCCATTCCATATCATTAGGGGTGAATTAGGGGTGCCAAATTAGTATTCCCAAGCATTTTTCTAATTTTTATTGTAAAAAAATGCATTTTGTTGTTGCCATAGAAAAAAAGGTACAATTAAATAAGACAAATGAATATGTCGATAAGAGGATAAATTGTCAAATTTTGTATTTTTTACAAACATCACAACTCAAATATTTCTAATAATTTTTGAAAATTGGAATGTTTAATTTTGTAATTGAAATTTCAAATGCAAATTGCAAGTTTGCACATATTTTCAATTTTGAAAATCCTATAATCATTCCCAAGGCTAAAGAACAAACAACTCCATCGCATTCTCTTTAAATAGGGATTTTTTTTTTTTTTAATTCTTGTAATAATGTATATCACATGTAACTGTAAAATTATCAACTCAAAAATGATGCTCAAGGGTAATGTGATCTCTTTGTTGACGAACACGATCCATCGAATGTAAAATCTCAAAGAATAGGAAAAGAAAGAGAAAGCTAAAATAGAGAAATAAGAAGTAGAGGAAAAAATTAACCATTTCCAACATAATGTATATCACATGTAACTGTAAAATTATCAACTCAAAAATGATGCTCAAGGGTAATGTGATCTCTTTGTTGACGAACACGATCCATCGAATGTAAAATCTCAAAGAATAGGAAAAGAAAGAGAAAGCTAAAATAGAGAAATAAGAAGTAGAGGAAGAGCTGAAAGTAGAAGTTTTGAAATACAGATAGAGAAGAGGAAGAAAATCTCAAAATGAAAATTGAGTTGAAGAGAGCATTGAAATAACAAAAAAGATAAAATGAAAAAACCAAACCAAAAAAGACAAATAAGAGGTAGAAATAACGGATAATATCTAAAATTGAAGAGTAAGGATTGAAACTTGAAAATGCAAATTGAGTTAAAGAAATCTTGAGGGGTGGGTATAAATTTCTCAAAAAAATCTTGGAGGGGCGAGCCTATGTAATTTATAAATTTGATTATTAATATCACTATATTTAAGGAGCTTTTTCAACACTTAAGGGAGGTGATCGCCTCTGCCAGCAGTCACCCCATCAGTCCATTCCTATGTATGTATATACGAGATAATACATATCACAAAAACAAAATAGCAAAAAGATATAGAGTTGTTGGAAAATCTAGGATTGTTTGTTTCATTTGTGATTAAAGTCGTTTGGTGAATATGATTTTGATAATAATTTTTTTTTATAAGACAAATATAATTATCGATATCCAATCAATCTAATTTTTTTATACAGACACTCTTCTCGACAAACCCGACAAAAATCATTTAAGATGGGCCTCGAAGTAGGCCTAATAAACCCACCTCCTAGGAGCAAAACCCTTCATGAAAAGAGTACTTTGGCATTAGGCTGCAAACGAGTCGAACCGAGCTTTGCTGAGCTCAAACTCGGCTTGTTTGCTTATCGAGCTTATTCATTGAGCTTGAGCTCAGCTCAATAATTAATTGAGTTTGAGCTCGGCTTGATAAGTTTTTTTTTATTATTTACACATATTTATATATTATTTAATATATAAATAATATATTTATTATATAATTTAAATAAAGATAAATGAATGGAATTTATTCAAACTCGAATTCAAGTCCAATTCATTTACTCAACAAGGTAAGCCAAGTTAAACCGGGTTGAGCCCTTAATCAACCGAGCCGAGACAGCTCGCGGTTGGCATAAATAATCTTTGTATTTTGCCTGTCAAGATTAGAAATTGTTCAAGCGATGTCCCAAATTTTCTAGGGTTTCTACAGTAAACACTGTATGGAAGTGTGAGTTGAACAAAATTACAGGTAAATTTGACGTCATTTTCATTTGTTAAATGTCGATTTTAGAATGTAGCCTTTGATTTTTGTTACTTTAATCATATGCGTTTCTTTCCATTTCTTCTATCTTTCAACTTCTTTATGGTTTGATTTGATCACGTAATCATGTAAGATTGGTTCTTTATAATTTTTATAATTGGATTTGATTTTCTGTAATTTGTCTAACTTTGCTCAACAGCCTAAATGTCTCTTATCAAATTTGTATTTCATTTTTGTAATCCAATATGGTCTTCATTTAGGAAGCACGGATATGAGATACGGATACGATACAATATGGATACGGCGATACGGAAAAATTTGAAAAACTAGGATACAGGTACGACGGGTATATATTCGTAAAAAATATTATTTTTACAATTTTTAGTAATGTAGTATGCATAAAAATAAAACTTAAAACAAAACACAACTTGATAAAAAAGAAAGATTCCTATAAAGTTAAGAGTCTTCAAGGTCAATAGTTTCAACTTGTTCTCCTTCATCAGTGAATATCACAAAACCTTAGCTAAAGCCAAAAAATCATCCTTAAATAAAAATTTCAGCAAATATACTTTTTTAAGTCATCAATGATAACTAATTTTACTCCAACAGAAGGTGAATCAAAGTCAAAGACCAAGAAACTCACTGCAAATTGATGGTTTTGAATTCTCACAAATTGGCTATCTAATTTGAGAGAATAATTTAAGTTTGATAAATTTATTTTGAAAAATTTTATTAGATGAAAAAATTGATAAAGGGTTGGAGATGCTTGCTTATTTTTGATAAATACTTCTCATATTCCTAAATCAACAGGAAAAAAGAAAAGAAAAGGAAATTTAGCTTCTTTCACTCATTTTATTTTCTCATCTTTTCACTTTCTTAGGATCAGTTATTGAAAAGTTTCAAGTATCCATAATTCGTACCCGGAATGATTTATATTTTTTAAACTACAATCAATGTGTCTTTAGTTTTAATGTCATAGAATCGAAACCAACCACATTATTTTAAATGAAAACTCCACATTTTTTCACATTTGTAAAGCAATGTCCTCTTTCATCACCATATCTGAATAGGCATAATTTAAATGGTGAAATTTTTGGGGGGGGGGGGGGTGTTTGTTTGGGAGAAAAAAAAAGTGAAGTAAAATTAGCTTGCGTTTACTCTTTGTTTTTCCTATTTTTTCATCACCATATCTGAATTGATCTAGTTTTAGAACAAATTCAAAGAAAATTAATGGGTGTGCTTGTTATTGAACATCAGGCAGTAATGACAGAGTCATAAAAGGATAGCAATAGATAATGGCACAGATGATATAGTCAGTGGCCTGCCAAGAAACTTAATAGACAACATTCTAGTGCGCATGCCCGTTCGAGATGCAGCAAGAACGAGTATCTTGTCTAGAAACTGGAGGTATATTTGGTCTTCACTCCCACATCTTGTGCTTAATAAGCACTTCTTTCCAGATATCATCTGCAACAACCCACTCTATGCATATACGCTTGTGAGCGTAATCAGTGATATACTGTTACTTCACAGCGGCACCATTCTGAAATTTTCTCTCTACATTCCAAACATACATTATGATTGGGACCTGCATGTCACTCAGTGGCTATTGTTCCTTTCACGGAATGGTAAGAAGGAACTCAACTTGGATAATCAGAATGTTAAATCCTATAAGTTGCCTTCTTATGTTTTCTCTTGTCCAGAATTGACACATTTGAAGCTCCGTAACTGCATATGTAAACTGCCAGAGGCGTTTGTTGGGTTTCGTAGCCTAATTAGCCTTCAGTTCGAGAAAATGGCATTTGCTGCCAATATATTTGGAACTCTTGTCCCCAGTGTGCCATTGCTCGAGACTTTGAACTTTTCAGGCTGCACTGGCATTGAACATTTTAATATCCATTTCCCAAAACCCAAAACCTTTGTTGCCACTGATAGTCGCAATGTTGAATCAATCTCTTTCCAAAGTACCTCAAACCTGACCATGATCTGTATTGCATTGGGAAAGAAAGCTGAAAACCCTGGGCTACACAGTACAATCAATTTGAAAAAGTTTCTTGAAAATTTGCCTAGAATTTTGAAGATTTGTTTTGATGGATTTTTCCTTAAGGTGAGTATATGTTTATCCATTTTTTTATTTGGCACATCATATGGAAATTTGTAGGTCGTGTCTTATTTTCTTTCTATTTGCTTCAAAGCTTTTGGCTGCAGGTTCTATTGTTGTTCCATGGGTGCTTTCTATTCCTTTCAACCAACTGAAGCATCTTGTGTTTGCTAAACTAAGATTTGATGATGTGGATCAGATGTCATGTGTTCTTTGCTTGCTCAGAAGTTCTCCTAACTCGAAGAAACTCTGCATAACAGTGAGATTGTTGACACAAACAAGATAAGAGTAAATTTTTTATTTTTTTTTTAATTTAAAAATTAAAAAAGTTCCTTTGCAATTATCATCTTTTACAGGCCTCTGCAGTCAGGGACCATGCTGTAGAACCGGTTCCAAGATACTTGGAAGCACTAGGCTGCATGTACCAGCAGTCGAACCAACTTTGAACTGTGAAGATAACTTCCATCAAGGGTTTGAGGGCTGAATTGCTTTTCATCAAATGCATACTCGCATGTTCTCCAGTTCTTGAGATGATATGTGTTCAGTACCATCAAATCTTTGATGCACATGAGGGGTTTGGAATCTCAACAGAGATGATGTGGTTTAGTCGGGCATCACCAAGGGTAGAAATAGTATATGTGAAACCCTAAGGTATTAGTCCTGTTTCTTGACTCGTATTCACACCGACCTTGTCCCTTATCCTTTTGCATCCTTTCACTAGTAAGGGGTCTTCTATTTTCTATGAATTATATGTATATTTTATGGGAATATAATTTTACTTGAATATGTATTATATTGTTTTGCGTTGGTCTTCTCTTCCGTAATTTGTACATTAGATTATGTGTATATCCATTAATCTAGTTGGCTACTCTGGTATAGTCCTCCTACTCTTGATAACAAGGCTTGAGTTGTGCTATTGTCTTGCTTACCTTAACAGAGAAAATAGTGACGTATAAAGGTCTACTGAAAGTTTAATATTCAAATTCAATGAAATACATAAGTAAGAGAAAAAGATGAGATAAAGCTCTGGAATGCATGCTTACAGCTCTGGTATAGTGAATACTGGTTTGGTATTCAATATTATGTCTCATTGTACAGTGTTGTGGAAAACATTATGGAACCCATTTGCAAATTTACTTTGTGTAGCTCTTTTATCAATTCGTAGGTGGTTGAATGCTGGAGGAAAAGGAAAATGTCTCACCTTTTAGCTTTCCCAAAACTCTTGCTTGTTATCTGGTTTGAGGAGTGGGATTGGATTGTCAGTTTGTGAACCTCATAAAAATCAAGTTTGATTGTGAGAAATAACTTGGGATTATGAATCTATGCAATGGGCATCCACCATGGCCCACTCTATTCATACAGTCTAATGATATTCCTTCTACGCTTTGTGTCCATCTGATCGAATCCAGATCATCTGCCGTGATCTCCTGCAATGCTTTCTGCGGTGGTTACAAAACGACGTCGTTTTGTAAATTTTTTTTTTTTTTTGTCTTTCCCCTGTTCTTTTCTCTCTCATTGTTGAGAACCCTAAACCATGAAACGAGAGAGGTGAACAGAGACAGGTTGAGGGCGACGGCGATTCTATGGCGGCGAAGCAAGGAGCTTGAAATCTGGGCAATTTCATGAGGGAGAGATCCCTCATGCAGCTCAATCTTCATCACCCACAAAGCAATGTTCATCATGTTCATGGTTTTGTAATCCAATGAATGGCATGATCTATGGTAAATATGATGATGAAACATCAAGTCATTACAATTATTCATGTCCCTCTCCAGTTAGTCGATTCTCTCTTCAATCTGATTGTTCATCCTTAGTGGTTCTAGAAACCCATTAACCCAGAATTTCAAAGCAAATGACCAAGTTTATGGTGATTCAAAAAAAAGAGTTTAAAGACACAACATAGATATAGAAATCTGGGCAATTTCATGGTCCCAAATTTTGGAAACATAGATTGTTCCGGTTCATTTTCAAGCTTGTCAGGATTGCAGTGTGGTAGATCTCAACTCAAGAAATCAAACCCACTTGAACCAAACCCATTTACAACAAGAAGAAATCAAACCTCGCCTCGCCTCGCCGCTGCCGTTTCGTCTTACCGACTTCACTCCTTCAGCTTCGTCTCTCTCCTCTCCTCTGTTCTGCTTCAGTCGGGTTAGGGTTGTGGCTGATGAGAGAAAAAGGAAAAGGGGGGGGAAAGGAGCACAGGAGCCAATAATAATAATAATTCAAAACCACGTCGTTTTGGAATCACGCAGGAAGTATTGGAGGATACTGATAATCCGGACTCCCATCTGATCTCATACTCAAGATATAAATAGGCTTTTTTTTTTTTTTTTGATAAATTATAAATACACCCCTGAGATTTTTTTTAAAATACGAATTGTTTTTTATAGTTTAAGAAATTACAAATATCTTCCTGTCATAATTCTTTATTTAATAGAATTAATTAAAAAAATAAAATTTCTAACTGTTTACCTATACAATAATAAAATTATCTGAATTATTAATTGAAATAAAATTTTAATATTATTAAAAATTATTAATTAACTTGATTTATTAATAAAAATATCTATTTGTTATGAAATTAAAAATCTTGAGGGACATAATGTAATTTTTAGAATCACAGAAAATAATTTGTAATTGAAGTAAACATCAGAAGGTGTGTTTGTAATTTACCCTTTTTTTAAGGGACTAAAAAAAAGGCTAATTTTTAAGGTTTCTACCCAAACTAACTTGAATGCTTATATGCACATGACTAAGCCTCTTATTAATTGATGTGGGATTGTTACGCAAATATTATGTCAATAACAAGTACAGTGTTCTTTTTATCAGCTCCTTACAAATTGACTTGTAAAGGGAGGGTGCCGAAAACTCGTATGTGCATGTGACCAAGCCTTTTCAAAATTATATTTGTCGTTCATCTTTAAAAAAAAAAAAAAAAGTTTAATTTATATTTCATTAACTTTTTTCTTCCTTTTTTACCTAGTCAAATCGAAAAAAAGCTTTTAAATTTTTCAGGATTACTTCCAAAGAACCCGCCTCACTAGGAAGAGAGCGTCAATATAGAAAATGAGTTGGACATACTTCATAAATTCATAATAGAGTTGTTTTTCTTTTCATTTCTGTAAGCATTACATTTCCAGTTCAATAAGCATTACATTTCCACTCCATTAGCCTGTTCGCAAGATGGTATGTGTACTGATATACAAAGGAAGATTACAAATCAGAAGGAATTAGAGAAATTGTTTACAAAAAAATAATAAACATTATAAATATTGATAATTAAAATAATAATTTTTTTCATTTTTTTTATAAATTATTTTTCTGCACTCCACTGATCTATAATTCTCCCATATACAAATAAAAAGGACACTATTAAGACTTACCATTTTAAAATAAAATATTAATATCACATAAAAAACTTTTATAAAAAACTTATAAGAATATAGCTTATTTATTTATTTAATTGGGGTTAGCAAATTGGCAATAGACAAGTGACAAAAGTTTGACCCCTTTTTTTTTTTTTTTTTTGAACAGGAAAAAAGTTTGACCCTTGATGCCTCAGTTTTTGTTTCATGTTGCCTGCCAGATGATATTCAGCTTGAAGGCTTTGTCATAAATATACACTACTATGTCTGTACAATTTACAATTTAAATAAGTAAAATAAAATAAAAAAATTATTCATTTTATTTGCCACCCAAGATGTAACCTCTTTCATTTACCTTTTTTTTTTTTTTTTTTTTCTAATTTAAAATTATGATCCAAACACTGCCTGATCTAGTGATAGTCTGAGCCCGCCCAAAAACCAGCCATTAGAGTCCGCATAGCCAATCGCAGTAGGGACCATTCCATAAACCCGGGTATAAGACTGCTAGTACCAACCACTGTTACAGATTGGGTTAGCTAGAGAGCCCAATGAGCTTTTGATCTCGGGCCATTTAATTTGAACAAAAAATATCTCATTTTAACTTTTATTATAATTATCAACAAAGACGACATATATTAAATCTTAAAATAAAATATTATTTTTTTTTATAGTACACCATAATCAATTATACATAGTCTTACTATTCAAATCTGTTAATCTTCTTCTCCAACTTTCAATTATTTTCTTTTCTTTTTCTTTCTCACTTCAAATCTCTAATCTATCCCATCAAAACTCACAATTATTATCGATATCATTATTTTTTATTATATTATTACTTGCAAATAGAAGAAAGTTTGAACAAAATCAAATAATGAATGAAAGTAATAATCAAAATAGTTTTTGAAACAACCCATAAAAGAGGAGGTAAGTACTCACATAAATATCAAAAATATAATTATTGATTTTTGTGTGTTTTTTTATATAAAAGTAAATATTCAATTGATTTTTTGTCATTATTGTTCAGACTTTAAAGTTGAATAAAGTGAATTCATTCGGTTCTAAAAGTTCAAACACAAAGTCCTCCCTCTCCTTTTTCCTTTGTTGTTCTTTTTCACCAGTGCGTTGAGTTATATTCCATGTATGTAAGTAAATAAAAGAAGGATTTTTCAAAAGTAATTTGAATTTTTTAATTTGTTTTATTTAAAAAAAATATAATTTGAGTGAAAAAAAATAAAAATAAGATGTAGTAAAAATAAATTATAATCCTAAATAATTTAATAAAATATATTAAAAAATTGAGCTGATTTTTTTTTTGGGGGGGGGGGTTGTAAATAAAATTTGAGCCCAAATTAGAGCTCATTTACAAAACCCCTAGAAAATCGCTCTTTCGCATTTCATTCGTTTGCAGACTCCTCCCCGACGCGTTGTTTGTTCTCTCAGTCTCTCGTAACTTTGAATCAAGATTCTCAAGTGTTGCTTCTTTCTTCTCTAAGAGCTCTCTCTCGCTTGCGACGCCGTCTTCTACAAAATGGTATGTAGAATTATTGTTTATCGTTTTATTTCATTTATAGTTAGATTTAGATATATAGATAGATACAACTATGGTTTGCATAAACTGTGTGTGTATTTTGGTGTCAATATAGTTGCAATGATTTTATATTGACAAGAGGATAAATTGTCAACTTTCGTGTTTTTACAAACATCAAAACTCAAATATTGTTAACAATTTTTGAAAGTTGGAATGTTTAACTTTGTAATTGAAATTACAAATGCAAATTGAATTTATTTGCAAGCTTGCAAATATCTTCAATTTCAAAAAACATATAATCATTCCTGTGGCTAAAAACAAACAACTCCGTCACATTCTCTTTAAATCGGTTTTTTAGTTCTTGTAATAATGCATCACATGTAACTGTAAAATTAGCAACTCGAAAATAATGCTCAAAGGTAATGTGATCTCTTTGTTGATGAACACGATCCACCGAATGTAAGATCTCAATGAAGAGGAAGAAGAAAGAGAGAACTACAATAGATAAATAAGAAGAAGAGGAAGAACTAAAAGTAGAAGTAGTTTTGAAATA